GGGGGACAAGTAGGAAGAAAGGAAGGGTAGGAGTAGAGAAAGACAGACGGCGGCAGCGCGGGCATACCTGGTATAGCCATAAACACGCAGATAGCAAAGGCGCCGAGAGAGGGAGGGAGAGAGAGAGAGGGGGGGGGCGTGGCGGCACACAGCTATGGCACAGCCGTGACGCCCAATATCGATCAGTCCCCGACAAGCTCGCCTCTCCTCGCCTCCCGCTGGCCGCTGGTGCCGCGCTGGTCCGCCCCGCCCCACCCCGCCGCGCGCCAGGCGCGGACAGAAAATGATGAAGCTCCAGCAGCAAAGTGATTCAAATCACGCTGTCGGCCGGGGTCAGGCGAGCGGTGGCGAAATATGGCGCACAGCGAGAGAGTGGGAGAGAGAGGGATAGAGAGAGAGTGCGAGACAGAGAGAGTGAGAGAGAGAGTGAGGGAGAGAGAGAGAAGGCGCATTTGGAGCGATCATAGTTTCTATTCACTGCTTGTTTTGATTTTAGTGCAGCAATAATCAGTTTACTGAAACGAATATTTTACTCGTGAAAATTTGCTAAACTTCGTTGTTTTAAACACCCTGGTACATTTTCCTGGAGATAACAATGCTATCCTCATATAGCTCAACGCGCGAAAACAAGAGCTCTTTCTCTAAGTGAGCTAAAAATAATTCGACGTCGAAACCAAACCAAGTATTAGCTATACCCACCCAGTATCCAGTCAGTTGGGGGGGTGCTTTAGAGGGTTTTTTCAGTTGTCAGAACTACAGTCGAAAGCGATTCATCGAAAATGGTATGTCAACACATTTAGTGCGGAGCGACCACTATGTGGTCACGACGGGTTGCATTCGCACGGGGCCATTAGATCATTCAGAAAGTACACGGACACGGTTACGAACCTGCCAAGTTCAGCCTCTGCCTGCAAGCTCTAATAGCGCCTGGTCGGTAGGCAACGTCTTGCCCACTGTGCATGTATGTACTGCGGGGTGGCCTACGTTGAGTTTTGCAGGCGCCGAGCTCCCGCAATTTGCTGAATGAATCTGAGAAAAACGGTCGCGCTTTCCGGATGATGCCCAAGGTTTCGTGGCGAGCGACGGTAGGCAAGTCCACCCGCGCGCCTGAATCCGGTACAACACAACCAGAAAGAAAGGACAGCACAGTAACCCACCCTGATGGTTTGCCAATCCTCTGAAATCAAATATATTTTATTTTTTTTGATGGCTCACTACGGACATATTTGCTCTTCTAACTAATCTCTTTTTCGCGCGTAAGGCAAATCAAAAGCTTCAAGTTTATAGTTGTTTTTCCCCCTCCATTATTATTATGGCATTCATTGCGAATAACTTCCATTTCGTCTCCAATGACCAATGGGTCTTACTAACAGAGCGACATACTCAACATTTCTTATAGTACACCGTGGTGCAATATGCCTGAAATTTGCATGTAAAAAGATGCAGATTTTTTTTTTACTGAACAAAAACTTAGAACTAGGAGTATGGAGGGCATTGTGTGCCTTAAGGTTTGGAAAATTTGTGTCGAGTTGTGGGGAGAGCTTCAAAGTAAGGTAGGCTAGAGATGCGGCAGCCACAGGTGTATGGCGCACTGCCGCGCTCTGCGCACCCGGTAAAGGCCGACTTGTGTATTTATATTTTCTCACCTTTTTTCACCAACTACGCAGGCACAACCAGAATTCGACCAAGTGTGAATTTCGAGCTTTCCACCATGTCTGATGTCGCCACGCACCTATATCGAGAGCGTGCACCGCAAAGCAAATTCTGACACAAAATATTAACTTTAGGGGGAGAATAATTACCCCCCCCCCCCCCCCCCCGCGCGGGTTGGGATCAATTTTTGAGAGTTTTGCGCGATTTTGATGAAGCGAGTTTTTGTAAGACGAACGCGAGTTGGGCGCGGGCAAGTGTACAACGAAAACGAGTTGGCTAGTGGGCGACCCCTCACCACCACCACCACCACCACCCCAAAAAAATAATAAAAAAAATCTGCATAACTTCGTGTGTGATAGTGACTCGTTAAAATCTGTAGTAGCAATAATAATAAGTTTTAATTGAGTTTTCAATCATTCGATCAATATGTTATGCAATTTTGGCTACCAATTGAGTGCGATAACATTTTTATCGCTCTGTACTAGTAGCGCAATTCTGTGGCGATTTGAAACTAACAACTAAAGACGTTATTACAGAAAAATGTTGCAAAAAATAATCGCGAAACCCTTTTCATTTTTAGATTTGTCATGGCCGTAGAGCCGTAAGGTGTAAGGTGCCATCACTTCACGTTAGGTCTCAAAAGACGTGGTAAGAGACGACAGGCAAACCCGTCCATTCGCTTGGTCGGTACGCGGTACGTATGTACTGAAACGAAAAATCGAATTGTGAACTCAGCTCGCTGGCGTCCCCCGCATGCTACTTTCCATCAACCTTTATATAGGTAATGTACTTCTCTCTGCTCCAGCGCGAGTCAATACTGTTACGGGGAAGTCGGCCCGCCGCCAGCCCGCAGCCACCACCGCAGAAGCATCACCTTGTCGCACAGGAACATTTCTCGGACGGCGTGGCGGGGCGTGGCGGGGCAAGTACGGCACCGTGCGAACGTTACGTGGAGCCCAACGGCGGGCCCGCCCCGCCGCAGCAGCCGCGTAGCGCCGCGCAGCACAAGTTGGCATGCGCCGCGCCCCGCCCCGCCACGCCGCGCCGCGCCACGCCCTCGCTCGCCGCAGCCCGGCGCACAGCGCGCACCCACCAGCCCCGCCCTCACGCGTATCGAGCCTAGAGTCTTACTCCACCCCGCCCCACCCCGCCGCGCCGCGCCCCGCCACCCCACGCACCCACCCGGGCAGCCTCGGGCCAAGGGGTGAGACATGGCGGCGAGGGGGTGGCTGGCCCGCTCGCTGCCGCCCGCTGCCGCCCGCTGCCGCCCGCCGCCGCCCGCGGCCGCCCACCGGGCTGGCGTGGAGTTGATTCGGACATGGACTCCTACCGATCATCGCGGCCGGGCCCAGGACGCGTTGGCCGAGGCAGCAACAGTGCTAATGGTCCAGGCACGTGGGTCTCCAGGGCCTGTTCCAGGCTCCAGGGCGCCCGGCGGCCTCCGGGGCTGGAGGAGTCAAACAAGCACGTTCCAAAGGCATGGAGGAGTGGTGATGCCTCGGCCCCGCGCCCAGACTCCCGGCTACCGCTGGGACTCCATGGCGCGCACAGCCCGGCGGGCTGGGGAACGGCTAAGACGTCAAAATCGATCCCCACCTTCCAGTAGCGCGGTGATGAACCTGTAAAGCGTCCTGCACGCCACCCCTGGAGCTGACCGCAGCTGCGCTAGCGCACGGCATCCTGGAAAGAAGGGAAGTCCTCGGCGAGAGGGGGCCAAAGCTGCCGGCGGCCCAGCAGCTGCAGATGCAACATCTCACCACCAAGGCGAGGGAGAGGGAAGGGGTGGCGGCACGGGGGCGGCACGGGGGTGGCAGGGGGCGGCGCGGGGGTAGCAGGGGGCGGCGCGGGGGCGGCGCAGGGGCGGTGGACGGAGGGCGCAGCCCCGGCGCAGCCCACGCCCCCTCTGACAGCTGAACCTCGCCTGGTCTGTCCGCCATGATCGCGCGGGGCCCGGGCGGGGGGAGGCGGGGTGGGACGGAGAGCAAGAGAGAGAGAGAGAGAGAGAGAGAGAGAGAGAAGGGGGGGGGCAGATACTCACCTAAGAGTAATAGTTTGATATCCTTCGCGGCCTGTATCCCGTCCTCCTTCAGGTTCTTCTCGATCTGCTTGGACCGCGCCAGCGCGGCGCGCTCCTCCGCCGACATTGCGCACCCCATCTTCTTGCCTGCCTTCACGAACGTGACGGAAGCTGGTGTGGGACCCCGTCCCGGGTCTCAGCCGCACATGGGGAACGACGGCCGAGGGCCAGGGGCCGGAGCGCTCGGGGCCTGGAGGCTTGAGCCCGGAGGGTTGGAGCCTGCCTGTGGCCCCACCCTGCTGCACATACACACACGCACGCTCGCACGCACGCACGCGCTCCGGGGTTAATCCTGCAGTGTCCAGAGCGCGAGGTAGGCGAGGACGGGGTGGGGCCGGGTGGGGCTCACCGGGGGACACTCCCAGACCCGATCCCCGCCACACAGTGTGGCCGCACCACACACGCACACCGCACTACGCTGCGCCGCGCCGCGCCTCGCGGACACACACACTCACGCACTCACACACACACTCACTCACTCACACACTCACACACACACACACCAACGCCCACGGCAGAGCTCCGTCCGCGCCCGCGCTCCGCTCCGGTCGGGTCGGGCCTGCCTCGGCTCGGGGGCTGCGAGCGACTGACTGGCCGTGCCCGCCTGCCAGGCCGCGGCGCGGGGCGGGGCGGGGCGTAGTCAGGCGTACCGCTGCGGGAGGGAGGGCGTAGCTGCTGCTGCTGCTGCTGCTGCTGCCGCCGCGGACCGCGAGGAGAGGAGAGTGTAGGTAGGGGCAGGGCGGGGTGGGCAGGGGAGGCAGGAGAAAGGCGAGCGCACCCCTTCCCTTCCTTTCGCCGCGAGCAAAGAGCGAAAGAGACGACGGGCAAAGGGAAATAGAGGAGAGGGCGAGGGTGGAGGGGAGGGAGGGTGTGCCTTTCGTTCTGTGCACGCAGCGAGGCTACGCGACCGCCGCGACCTCTGGAACCCAACGCACACCCAGCTCCAGAACTAACCCAGTTCGTCTGCTCCTCGCGCGCCGCACGCGCGCAAGTTCTTCCCTTCTTCCCTTTCCTACCCCCCCCCTCTCCCCAAAATCAACCCATGACAATTGAAACGCAGTGACATAGTATATTTACGATTTTATTATTATCATATTAATATTATTTAAAAAATCAAAATTATATTTTATAATAGAATCAGAGAGGGAGAGAAAGACCTAGGCGTCTAGTTTCATTCTCGTATCAAACACGTAGCTTAACTATAATTAATCTTTCACAGAAAACAAATCTAAGCCATTGTTAAACAAATGCTAGTAAAGAACACAACATTTTGATAAAAATCAAACCCAAACCTGTCTGGCTCATACTGTAAAATTCTCATTGTTGAACAGGATTTGATTTGGACACTTACTTTAAAATATTACCTCAAAACGAATCTACAGTTTCATCTACACAGAATCAATTGGATTCATATCATGACATCTCATGTTAAAAATAGAATACAACCTACTGCATTTCTATCAACTTCTCACATTAAATGAATGAATAGTCAAGTCCAAACATTTATCATTAAGTGCATAATATACAATCAGGCACATTCATTCTGGAAAGGGAGAAACTTTTGCTTCCTTTTCCAAATATGTACTGCAGCTCAATGCACATTTCAAGATACATTATGTACAACAATTCCATCAAACATATAAACAAACTTGAATGGCCAACTTCATACTTTCCAGCAATGAATGGGTGTATGACCATGGAATACATAGCTTAGAAAAGAAACATTAAGGTTCTCAGTTAATTTTACAAACCTATCAGATAGTCATGAAACCCATTCACTTAAATCAATGAATAAAAATCTTTTCTTTTTCTTACAAGAGGTAGACTCTTTGAATTGCAATATACAATATTCTGCTGGAGACTAGAGATACCATTGTGAACTACTATGAGGACACTAAAGGATTATACCTCCTACTAGATCAATGCATACAACTTAACAAAGAGGTTTTGATATTCCATGATGGCGTGGGTTACATAGAGAAAAGATTTGCAGCATCCTGTCACATTTGGAAACTATTAAGAATATTGGCAAAGGCTGACTACCCTGTAATTACCTAGTTATGGCCTTTCACAGAGGACTTGTGTAAGGAAGTAAAAGGGAAACAGCTTGTTCAGATGCTTTACAACATTCAAAGCCATAAACGAATTCTGACACCCTCCCTAGGTAGTAGATTGACTTCCCTGAAATAAAACATATTGTGAAACCACATTACAGTAGCATTAGCTACTTCAAAAGAAACAAACTACTTTTTTTAAAAGAAATGATAACATTTATCACATAAGAAAAATCCAAAATTTTACAGTAACGCAAAACCCTTAGCATCAGAAACACTCTTTGTAAATTATACAAAAAGAAATGATTTATTTTCAGGACTACACAAAACTGATCCCTTTCTTAATTAAAAATAGAACTTTTCTTTACAGTAGCAGCAAACAGAAGGGGTAAAAGCAACTAAACAGCCAGATGATAAAATAATAAAAATCATGAACGCCGGTAGTTTTTAATTTTCCTAATGTATTGAAAACTCACAACATAAGAACTGAACAATAATGATGACATGTTCATTTTGTGTCTCAATACACTTTTAAACACGTTTCAAACAAATGAAATCTTTGCAATGAAACAGCAAGAGCTACATTTGGTGTACAGCCTCTAAGACAGTTGATTAAAAATCTGAAGTCTCAAAGTTTTAAGTGGATTTAAAAAACCCAAATATAGTAGCTTCTAGGAAATAACTGTGGCTCTTTTACTTGAGTTACTATTATCACAGTCTTTAAATGATCTTGATAACATAAATATAACCTGACTGCGATCAGAGGACTACATTCATTATCTGTACACATTTCTCAAACTGAGGGGTGGAGAATGTCAAACTGAAGAAATTTCAACGAATTCAATAGATAATTGCATTAACTGTTCTTTCTTGTCAGTGAGCAGCCTTTGACATGTGTATTGAGACTTAATGATACTGGCGTCAGGTCATAATTTTTAATATTTCAAACGGGAACAATATTGGTCCAATTTAAAATTTAATAATGTTCTGGAAAGATTTTATAACAATTTAACTCCTACTATGCATAAATTTCCAACTCTACATTTACAAGGGCCATGAGGTACATTGATGGCAGTGTAACTGTTCAATAGATGTAATGGAAAATCACAAAACTTGAAGCACTGAAATTTTTTTAACACTTTAGCTAATAATTTGGGTCAAAAAATCTCTATTGAATGACATCTTTAGCAAATGCGAAAAACTACTCTTTATAAAGCCTTAGCAAATCACATACTTGATGATCAGTCAAAATATATCACAAGATCATCAAGATAAAGAATCAAAATAGTTTACTTATGAAGTACAGTACAACCGCTTGAGTCTTGACTTGAAACGATTTTCGGCAGTTATAACAGTTCTTGCAAGTTTCTACATACAATTTTGAATGTTAGGAATAAGAAATAGGCACGAATCAATTGCCATTTTAACTTTACGATGACAGTGCTCATATTGAATAGAATAGTGAATTTAGTCTGCAAAAACAAGGCCAGAAATAACTAGGATTGCATTTTGGAATTTCTAAGAATACTTCCTATAGAAAGTATTTTAAATTATTTTTGCTCCTAGGTAAGAAATTTTGATGTGTCAAAAGATATTAGTTTAACCCCTTCACATAAAACTAAATTTAAGAAAATTTATTAGAGCACAGAGAGGTTTTATGCAATAAATCTTACGCTACATTGTTTGTCATCACTTTTCAATACCCTTGAGCACAAAGTAGGTATAATATTGAGACATTAAGCAAATGTCACATTGGACAGGACGTCCAAGAACAGCAAAGGATGGACCATGAGGAAGACATGTAAACAATCAGATGTCAAGACCCAAATGAGAAATAAGCTTTCATTGAAAGTAACCTACAAGGCCAAAGTACGAAACAGCAGGGAATGATTGAGATAGATTGATGGAACTTCTAATAACCAGTAAAGGAAGATAGATGAAAAAAGAAAAAAAAAGATTACACAGCTTGTATATGTTCACCAACCTAGGGTATCTTTGCAAGACATATCTGTTTAGAAGAAATTAAGATGTGAATATAAAACATCAACATTGATGGAGTATGGGAGCAATCCCACAGTAAGGGTGTTCCCTTGGTATTGGAAACAGATCCCAATAATTAGTGTTCAGCTGCATGTCAACAAACAAACAAAAAGAAGAAAAAAGAGCACTAACATCACTGAAGACTATGCACACAATCTTTCCATTACGTACAACCAGCTAAGTCACATAAAAATCATATCCAATTGTAATAAAATTAATCAAATATTAGAACGAAATTTATGTACAACTTTAACACCACAGAATAAGAAAAATTCATTCGACAAGCCCCCTTCAATCTTGGCAGACATCACTCATGTTCTGAGATGAAGTCATTAAATTCAGGAGCATTCCAGAATTCCAAAAGTAAACCAAGCGAAAGAAAAATAGAAAGGCTAAAGCAAAAGCTCTTAGCTTGCTTTACCACTTGTTATTAAACAAAAAATTGGTGAAATAAAAGGGGCTTTCATATTCATAACACTTCAAGATACATTATGCTATGTGCTTCCATCAATTGTCTTGGTTTACATTTGGCAATATTGGCATAACCCTGTCATAGTACTACCTACAGCGTGAGATCTTTGGGCGTGATGGTGTTGTTAGAGAGGGAAAAGGTTGTGAGATAATCACAGCCACAATCTGACTAATGCGACTGCAACCGGTTATTTTGGATTGGCCAACATATTAGGCCCCACATGACCAATGAAACAGCGAGATAACACCATTTTAATTATACAAAGGAATTCTATAGATTTTGAACTTACTATGCTCTAGTGCTTTTCCACATCAAAATAAATTTCCAAATAACACATAAAATTTCTTTCTTTTGATTGGGTAAAAACGTGAACTAAAAGATGGTGTAGACCAATACTTTTGACATGCTGATATGATTAAAGAAACAAGATAATAAAGACCCATCTTATGCCAATCCATAACAGCCAACAGTCACAAGCAGCATATAGTACATAGAGTGGCTTGACGCTAATGTTGAAGGAGGTCATCAACACTAGCAAAGGCACAGGACCCAAGACCGGAACGTGACATGAGGCGTACCACTTCTCGGGTATGAGCCACAGCAATTTCTAGGGGAGGCCTTCTCGGTAGATTGCTCGCTTCTGAAAAGTGCAAAGATGCATTAGGTACATCATTTTATAAACCAATATTGATACCAATGTTCTTATACTTACCTAAAATTGCAGAATTTAGAGCGGCACATACAGTTTCCCTTTGCATTGGATCTAGCTGCCAACCAACAGGACTACTCCAAGGATTTGAGTAAGCCAGCAAACTGAATGCATCCTAAAACAAATTTCGGAACATGAGATTTAAAATATGTAGATACAGTTAAGAAAATGTAAGATACCTTAATATTTACTTTAATCATCTCAAAGTTTTATGTATATCTAACCAAATACTACAATTGTAATAAGTACTGTGTTTACCTGGAGCATTTTTTTGTTTGCTTCATTGTTGCCTTGCTCTTGACGCAAATGGAGACTCATGTTATAAAGTTCCCTGCCAAATTCAAGCATTCGTTCAATAGCAGGTTTGCTTCCCCCACACAACTGCCGTCTGCCAATTGGTGGGTCCACTTCTGAAAAAAAAAAATTAAAAAAATTAAGTATTTTGAATTAGAGGGCATTAACCTTGCAATCATAACTAGAATAAGAAACCAACCCATTTCCTCAACACAGTCTGTGTTATTAGATTCATCTTGATGAGAATCTCCATTCTGGTAACCATTAGAGGTGGCTGGTGATGAAGGTTTGTTAACCCCATTGGTGGTGTTATGACCATTTCTTTCATCAGTTACTTCCATTTCTACATCATCATTATCATCCCGTAGACCTGAAGAAATTTCTAGTGTTGAAGCTACAAGATTGATGGGTTAAGTATTTTGCAAGAAAAAATGGATGAATTACATACCATGGGAATCTGGTTTGATTAGTGGTGTAACATCACTTCCACCATTCATTGCAACTCCACTGTTTGCCATGTTCATATCTTCAACTCCATGCGAAGAGTGGGATGTACGACGCTGAGCTTGACCTTTGGTATGGTTTTTACTGGACGTCTGAGCAGGACTACCTGGAGGAGGACTTGAGGGTCGCGGTGGGGTCGACAGATGATTGACACGTGGGCAGCGAGGAGGATTTACCTATAACAAATAAAAAATAAAGGATTTTTTTTTTTTTTTTTTTTAATGAAGTATGATTTAAAAACAAGATTAAGGGTTAATGATCCTACCTCTGAATCACAGCCATTCACCATTTCAACAAACTGTCTACATTTCAATAAGAAGAGCAAATTCTGATTGTGTTCTAAAAGGCAAGGATACAACCTGCTTGTCATTTCAATTGCCTCTCCCATCCTACCAGCCAGCACAAGTTTTAGAATTTCTGTGAGACAAAATTAACAAAATTAATTCCAAAATATAAGAAAAAAGTGTTATTTAGATCACTAGATACAAAATACTTAAGTGGAAACCTATATCCAAGCAATTGCAACAGATTACTAACTTTGTCTGTTTTTTATGGATGTTATTTCTTCTTCAAATGTTTGTGCTGTACTCTGAGCAAATGTTTCGGCTGTGGCACAATATCCATGATGAACTAAGTAAGTTGATACCATTCTACAACAAAAAAAACAGTATCATTACTTAAAGCTTCCATACATCATTATCACTACCAACATGCAAGGGACTAATTAATAAGAATTTGATGCACAAGATGATGTTCATACTTATGTAAAACTGCTTGCCAGTCACCAGGATTTTCAGGAACAGGATAGTTAAGTATTGACAAGCGAGTCCTTGCTCGTAATTCTTTCATCATATCCTCAATGTCAAAAACAAAGGGCAACTGACCAAAATTTGCATCAACCACTTCACCAGGAGTCTGGAGACCTACAGTAGGGTACAAGTTTGGCTGAAAAATAAAAAGTAATTGAGTCATTTATCATTAATCAGTGTAGTGAAAGCAAAATTTTTAAAAATGTGAGATATCCTTACAGGTAAATCTGTGAAAGCTATGCCCAAGTTGTGTCCATTTTTAGTATAGAAGCAAGTATTATCAATTAGATTGACTCCACAGCCTATCACATCTCCAGTAGTAAAAGTAGGGCCATATGGCTGCCCCGAACCAGATGAACAAAATGAATGTCCATCGTCTCCATGATATCCGTAAGAGTGTTTGTCCCAGCCTGTAAAACACAGGTTAAAATTAGGATCATTTGAAACATCCAGAAGTAATTTGAGCTATGAAGGCGATGAAACACACTAACCTGGCAGTCTGTTCATGTTAACACCCTGGCCTGAGAGACCGATGCCCATATATCCATCACGGCCTTTACTGATAATTCTGACTTCAAAATAATACAAACCACATGCAGGAGGAATAGAGTGTGTGGCCCTCACACTGGCAGCATCTTTGTGAGTCTTACCATGTCCTGAAAATAAAAAATTGTGCCATTAGACCTAAAACTTCACATTCTTTTCCAACTTTTCTAGGAAAGAAAAAAAAGGCTCTAGGCCCAAATAAAAGGAGAGAATAACAAAACTGGAATCAAGATGAATTTTAAAATATCAATTTCAAGACAAACATCTTCAAATAAATGAAGTTTTAGGGATAAATAGCTCTTTTGAAAATAATTTCCTGGTGAAACAAAATTGTGTCATTAATTTGTCTAATACATTGTCTATAGTACTCTTAAATAAGGACATCTGTGTACAACTAAAATTACTCATCAACCTGTCATCAATTTTAACCTGCAGTAAACATAACCTTCCAGAGCAACTAAAAACAAAAAAAAATCCCCAAAACTGCATTGCAACAGTTGTACTAATTTTTATCTTTTCATACAACACTATGTGCAAATTAGTATATACTGCTTGTGGTTAAGGTAACTATACCTTCCAATGTTTAATGAGATCAGACCCATTGAGTCCTCTTACCCATCAGAATCTAGTTCAAAGGTCAAAACATAAAATTGCACTAATAGTCTAGGACAGAGTGCTGCAAAAGATTTCAAAAACTGAAACATTGAAATTGGGGAGATGGACCAAAAAATGATCGAATTAAGTTCTAATAAGAGGAAACAAACAAACGTGCGTGTAGGCTATTAATAGAGTACCAATGTCTTGAGCATTTTTCTCAGGCCTCAATATTTCAGGGAAAAGATACACAAAATAAGGTCAAAATTCACGTTAGAAATCAAAATTTGCTCTCTCTCGGTAGGATTTACGCTTAAAACAAGTAGGTTTCTAAATAGTCATACAGATGTTTTCAAAATTACGTCATGACAAGGACTGATCAGCTGATTTCTTTGTTTGGATCCAGCTCTAAAATACGCATCCTTGTCATTTCAGGCCCTTTCATTGCCTTTTAATAAAATTTTGAGCGTACACACATACTGTATTCTAATTTCACATGATGCCAAGAATGCCTTGGTGCGCCGATCCAAATGTGACAAATCTCGAATAGACAAGATGCAAGAGAACCAGCCCATAACCAATCCACAGAGGAAAATGTCCTACCTTTGTAATGGACACGCAAATTATTTTGAGAAAGCCCAATGTAGTTGTACTTGTCCTTTGAGCTCCAGGATCGAGGCAGTGGGGTTTCCTCTTCATTTACCATAGGATAAAGCAATTTGAATCTATCTGTGGCATTATTTTGAGGTAAAATTGGAGGGTCCTGAGCTCCCCGTCCATTGCTGGTGGCAGCCATCTTTGAAACTGCTGCTTGCTACGTCACTGGAGTGTACAACGATGAACGAGTTTGCACGGACGGAGGGTAGGTGGCAGCCTATTCGCTTGGCCAAGCGCGTTGCCATGGTTACCCGAGACGCCACAGACGAGTACACATGAAAATTCACGGTCCCCTTTCCCATATTCTCTCTATGGTATCTCAGAAAAGATTCAGACCATACTTCTTCTGTTGTATGTGTGTGTGAGACGAATGGGTAGCAGAAAAAGTCAGCCCGCTACTTGGTCTGGCGCGTGTTATGGATGGGTTCCACAAAACGTACGCATACCCTATACCCCGTACGTCCTGTACAGTCAGCCCCAAGCCAAGCTCCCTTGAGATTCGGGGAGCGGGGTCATTCCCCTCCCTTGTTTCAAAAGAGCAGTTCAATTACGTCCTCTGTGTTAGACGCACTACCCCGGGCAGCGGCGATATGGAAATGCGCCTAATTTGTAACACAGTTCATGCTCATTACGGCGTTAAATAGCAAGTGCGCGAAATGCAGTGAGAAGTCAAACGTCGAATGGAACATCACAATATCAAAAACATGGAATTGATGGAATGGATCAAAAATGTTTCACCTGTATAGTAATGCACATTGCCACATTAACAACAGATATGATAACCGGGTGTAAATGTGATAAAGTCAGTTGCAAAAAATTGGCAAAAAAAGTTTAACAAAAATTTAATTGAGTGTATGAGAAATGTTTATAGAGACCCTCAAGTATATAAAATACATGCATTGCAAAAATAACTCATTTAATAAGAATTGTTTACTATCAATATAACAGTCGGTTTATCATCTATTGAACCTAATTTTAATCGTAGAAAACAAATTTCAACATTTTACATTTTACTACAAGATTTGAGGTTGAAATTTGCAACAACAGTTTCTGCAACAGTCTTAAGAGACAAGAACAGTATGGTACATCTAAAAAAAGAGATAATTAGATAGTTTATAAAATTTTTGACTAAGTTAACTAAAGAGCTCAAGTTTTGGGTTTTTTGGGGAGAGAACCAAATGCTGATATTACAGTCCCTTTAGTACCAGTAGCACTAGTGGTAAGGGCAGGATGCTGCATTAACCCAACAGGTCTTACAACAGGAGCTGCTACACTGCCACCAACACCGCCTACTTGGTCCCATTTTGATTTCCGCCTCTTAGCCTCCTCTTCAGCTGAAAGAAGACTGACTCCGGCTGTTCGCTTCGCTGTGCCAGATACAAACTCGACCTATTTAACAACAAATAGAAAATAAATACCACAAACTGTGAACAGCATTCGGCTCAAAACTTTTATTCAAAAGTATTACCTTTGTCTTTTCTTTTCTCTCCTTTTCTCTTTTTTCTGTCTCTGCTTTCTGAACTTTTGCTAATTCTTCAAAGTATGATTCTTTGCCCCACATAAGAGGATTATAAATTTCAGGAGGATAATTAGTACCAAGTTCATTGAGCTCACAAAATTGAACTAGCTTCTCATAAATGCTAGGATTGCGAAAGTCTTTTCTGTCCTGGATAAGCTGGAGGAATCATAGACAAACTATCAAATACACACATACCAGTGACACAATCTCAGCAAATGGGTAGAAAAAGTTCAGCAAAGTTAAAATTTCAGTAATCTATGAAGTTTACTCTTACCTTATTCATGTCAAAATTTACATTACTCTTTAGTCTATCATGAAACTTTTTGATTTTGTCTTGAAGTGCCATGGAGCAATGTCCTTGCGGTTCAGGAGGCAATTTAACTCCATCCATAGTAGGCTCAATTTCTTCTTCTGGTTCAGCCTCCTCTACGGCCTTTTCTTCAACTTCTTCTTTAGTTTCCATAGCATCATCCGACACTGCACCACCCTCACCTTCCTCATCAGAGACAATAGTGTCATCATGATATGATACTAACTGGGCAAGTCTCTTGGCATTCTGAATCAAAAACATGAGAGTTTATCATTCTAAGATGGGTCAAGATAAAAATAAAAATTGTGCTAGGATTAGCACTTACTTGATGGCGTACGGAAGGTGATACCACAACTGGAGGAAGGGGCTTGGGCTTTTCTGGTGAAGGGCTGGAAATATCTCCAGTTTCATCTTCTGCTTCCGAATCAGTATATGTTGCAGTTAAAGATGCGAGGCCTGAGGAATTCTGCATTGACATTGTAAATAAGGCAGGCTGCAACACAACAAAGGACATACTTCGTCATTCATAGTTTAATTTGTCCTACTATTAAGGGACAACGATAAGTAAAATTAAGACAACAGTTGTGTCTCAAAAAATAATGAATATTAAAGAGGTTAGGTTCACGTACCAAAAGAGCAGAGATAGGCGGTAAATAACAACAAAATAATGTTTTGCCTACAGCTCTATCAAATATGACAAGTATTTGCTATACAAAGATGGCAAGAATTATTTTGAACGCGAATTATACGAAGAATAATTCTAAATTTGGACACATACGAAATCCAAATACCTCTTGTGTGATAAACAACTGCAAAATCGTCTCTCTTCGCTTCAAGCGAGCGCAAGGCAAGCGAAGCCCCAAACCCAACCCTAATCTAAGCTGCTCCAAGTTGTCCGGTGGTGGGGGCCGGGTATAGTGTGTTTGTAGTAGGTTCGCGGCTGTTCGGAGCACTTCGTGCCTCGGAGGTAGAGTATACCTTGGTAGGGGAGGGGAACAGAGTAGGATCCCGGTGGAATTATGAATGGGAATGGGAATGAAGTAACAACATCGTGTCCGTCGTGGTGAAGCGCAAAGATCTCTAAAATTCGAAGAGTAGTCCCCAGTATTCTTGTTACTTTACGTTACCACAAGTAAGTTTTACTCTCATATTTGACAGGGTCGTTTTTAGCTCTTAGTATCTAGAGAAAACCCGTGATTTAACGACCATTATAACACCTAACCTGCTGCTTCACGTTGACTTGAAAATCAGTTTACAATATACGACAATATTTCAAAAATTATTTTCAGTGTTGCTGTTATTTTATTTATACTACGAATGAGTCAGTATCAAAACTGAAATTTAAAATATTTAATGTTTGTTTCAGTGAAAGACATACCATCCAAGAAACAAAAAATTGAGGAGGTAGTTATTTCCGAATCAGATGATGAGTCGGACAGCGAAGACAGTGGGAGCGACAGTACTGAAAGCTCTAGTGATGATAGTGATACTAATTTAGAGCTCAAGGTTACCTACAACCTAACATTCGAGAAAGCATCTTCTCCTCAAAATAATTATATCTGTCACATGTGTGGATCTACGTGAGTTTAAGCTGCCTCTATTTGAAGCAATCAATCTCAGTATTGACCCATTGTGTTGCGGTTTTACCTCAATCTGTCATTCTCTGTTTTAGCTCTACAAATCAAGTGGCTACAGCCAGCAGTGACCTTACCTCATCTTTGCACGATATCAATGGACTTCAACGTATTAGAACTTTTGAAGGCCACACCAAAACAATAACTAATCTCAAGTGTGTAAAAAATTATTTAAAATATCCTTATTTTATTGAGATACATATTCTATTGCCCATACAGATTCGCAGATACACATTCCATTTATTTTCCTCACCAGGTTCAATCCAAGTGATCCACATCAACTTGTATCTTCATCGATTGATGGAACAATAAGATTTTGGGATACTAGAAAGGCAGGGAAAAGTGTTCTCATTATTAAAGGTGGGTATATTTGTATTTTATTGTGCTTTTAATATTATTACAAAAAAACTGACTTTAATTGAGCCTTTGGTTTTGTAGATGACACTGCTGAATCAAAACAATTAAAACCAATTCTATCCTTTGACATTTCAAAATCGGGACATTTTTTGTGTGCTGGTACTGAATTGTTTGATGGAGATGCTTTTTTGGTGTTTGGTGATGCTCGGTCTGGAAAAATTTTAGGTGGCTACTGGGAATCCCATAGCGATGATATCACACAGGTATTTAACAATAATTACCTTGTTAAAGAATTTGCTACTTGGACTAACATTTCTCCATTTTGCATCTTTTCCAGGTGGCGTTTCATCCTCTTCTCTCTGATAGTGTAGCTTCAGGCTCTGGTGATGGTTTGATAAACATTTACGACCTGAAAAATGATACTGAGGACGATGCATTGATAAACAGTCTAAACACTGAATCAACTGTTGTAAGTTTTAGTACTCAGTGCAATACTTTTAAAAGTTTGTCATATTTTTGTTGTATTTAAGAAACAATTAATTTTTCATGCATATGTAGGACAAACTAGCATGGTATCAGTTAGAAGGAATTTACAAAGGAATTTCATGTATTCTTGACACGATGGAGGCTCAATTTTGGGTGGAAGATGGAGCTTTGCCTTCCTCTTCATTTTCTCGAAAGCATATATCAAAGAGTACAAGTGTAAGATTGGAGAATGATTTACATTCTTTTTCGTATTATTAGAGCAGAAGATACTATGACTAATTTATGTCTCTCTTTTCAGTGGAAAGACGATGAGAGTTATATTGCTAATATTCATCAAGCAGCATCAGGAGATTTGTTACTTCTCACTGGGGCATCAACCAAAAACAGGTTTACATCTGATTTTAATAATAATTCTTTTGTTCTGTTTATAACTTACAAACAACATTAACATTTTTCTCTTTCAGTGAGGATTTAGCAATTTTATGTCTAAAAGACAGGACGCTCGAAGTGGAAACAGCTTTGCCAGGAAACAAGCAAAGAGTTCGTTGTAGCTGGTACAATCCAGAGGTGAGTCACACTCACCTCACGCTTTCTGTTAAGGTATTTTAAATATGATTTTTTGTGACCCTTTTGATTTTCATTTATCAGGATGGAAGTTTTGTGACGGCTGGAGAAGGTGGAATTTTATCCATGTGGAAACCTGGAGCTGAGTAACTACATGACAAGTATGCCAAGGTATACTTCTGTATACTACTATACGAAGAAACAAAATTGCAATCCTCAAAACACTACAGAGAAATAACAAAATTTGTGTTTACTTTTTCTGGATGGTTTCAAAGGTAACTTCTCCAAGAACCAAGGCCTACTGATGAAATTTTACTTTACTGTACATATTAAACTATGAAGACCTATCTTCTGAAAGTGTTTGGTTTTCTGAATCATCTTTCATCATATTTTCACATTTGGAGTATAGTACCCCTCTGTTGTTGGATTTTATGATTGGAAAAGGAAGCAAAGTCAAACACCTTTGTCTAATCTCTAAAGTCATTTATTTGTGGAGTTAACAATATCTTAGATGCTTTTTTGGGAGGATACACAGCACACACCAGTAGAAATAAAAAGTAAATATATTTTCTTTCTCATTACATTAATGACTAATTGTCTGTAACATATGGCAGCATAATTTCTTTTTAAAATAACATTGTACCTCAACTGAAAAGACTTTTCAAAAGCGCATGTGGGTGTCTGCTTCACAAAATATGAATGTTTAAAAAGTTAACAGATTGTACAATGCATATATGTGCCTTAATTAAAAAAAGTGCTTGTGAAAAGTTTTCGTAACTGATTGTCTGGAAGAAAGGCCTACTGTGCTATATGTTAAAGACAAAGTAAAATCAGAAGATTAGTTTCAAGGTCTAATGGATCTAAACCCCAATCAAGGCTTGCTATCTGCTTTGCCTTCTTATAGAGGGGGTAAAATACAGTATAACACAAGCACAAAGCCTCCATTAAACCAGGGCTTTGTCTTGAAACCACAGGAAGCAGTGCAAAACAATAGCCGGAATATTGAAAGGAAGACTTTTCTTCACCCTGGGTATTCCTTGATTGAGTAGCAAAACTAAATATACTTATATGTGCACCTCAACAAGCACACCCCTGAAAAGGTAGCATTGTTGCTGAACCTCTACAAGTACGCTCTATTTCAAATCAATAGACATACTTTATAAAAACGTCAGAACTAAAAAGAAAGGATCTGTCAGCAAGACATCACTTGTTATATAAAAAACAAAACAAAAAAATCAAAATAGTATTGAGAGACATAGGGATGACCAATTTGTGTACTGAGATCTCATCACCAGAACATTGTATGAAAAGATTATCAAAGGTGACTCATGAAAAACTTGAAAAAGTAAAATGCAAAGTTATTGCAGGATGTCGAGTGAATGTAATCTCATGCTACATTTTTCTTTCAATGATATTGCAATTATGACGCTCTCAAATGAATAGTGGATTTCAAAGAGTTGACCTTTGAAAGCAGCATTGATCACAAAGCTATGGCGTTAAATTATCACAGAAAGGAAATATACTCGTTTGATACAAAATAAAGCTTTGACAAAAAGAAATGTACAACCGTATCTCACCACTAAAGAGTAGTATGGAAAGAATGTTGGAATTCCAATATTTCCAACATTTTACAGAATGTCTCTCTGCTTGCCATATATAAAATTTAACATCATACTTTTAAGCCTCTGTACTGATAAAGAAATTTCTTAAAAATAAAAAAAAAACGTTTACAAAGAATATTTTTGGTACAAATTTTGTTTAACACAAAACAAGTTACACATATGCACATTAAAAATCACCTGGGGACATTGTAGAGTTTAAAGTGCTTGACTAAAGTTATTCTACATAAAATGAAGAAAAAGAAATATGATGAATAAAAATAGAATAAAATAAACACAAATAATATTTCTTTTTTTTTCTTTTGTTCTTTTCAATCAAAAAAACTTACATTATTGGGGAGCTCAAATTCTCTTCAGAGCACCATTTTATCTCAACAAATAAATAAGTAAACTTGATGAAAATCACAAACTTAAAGATTCACACTTTATTTGTTTAATGATGTATGTTATGTTATATAGTGGATACATAGGAAATTTGGTAGTATGTTCCATGTCTTAGTGCAGTGCAGCAACACTAGCCATCCAACATTTCTTGCAATAATTGTTGGCCCGGCTGGACACTGCCCTGAGGGGCCGCAGCGGAGGATCCTGCTTCTGGTTCCACACTTGACGCACGACTCTCCACTCGCTCCTCAGATATCAACCCTCACTTGCTGACAAGGAACATGATGAGCCTGGAATTAGGAGGAGAGTTATTTAAATAAATAACGATACCAACCCATTTATCATCAGGTGTTAAGACAGGAGAATTGTGATTACGGTAAAATATAGTGTACCTGAAGTTGATGGCTTTGCAGGACAGCAGGCGATTACACTCGGAAGAGTCTTGCAAAGCAAGGCGAACGTAAGGGCTCTCATTGTCTTGGTCTGTGAAGTCAAACTTGTCCACTTTGGGTGTCACCTTCATGTCCCCAAAGGGACCACGGATAACAAGGAACGACATGGACAGTGGACATGTTGTCTTCGTCTTGAGAATCAGCTGCAGGGTGGAAAACAAAATTCGAAAGGTTTGTCATGCACAGCGAATTTTACATCAGAATAAATGAAAATGTTGCTTAAAGAATGGTATATTTTTTTAAGTGTGGATTTTAAAATTTATTAACCCCAAAGTAGAAGCCAAACTTCCCAGCCAAAACCACCAAATCACATTGTAAGGAACACATAAATCAATAAATATAGTGCAAGAAAAAAGTCCTCTGTGATTCTTTTCTTTTAAATTTGAGGTACATTTTTTTAAATTGAAACAAAACAATTGAGGAACTCTTAATGCTTATAAATCAATGGTTTAGTAGATGACTCCACGCAACGCATGGACAGAAAGTAGTACAACTCTTGTTGTAGTTGTAGATTAATTAAAAATGTGCCCCCAACAAATTGTAATTTGAGTTTCTAACCAGACCCTAAAAACTTTAGATTAGAAAAAGAAACTAAATTTAATGAAAATACAGTAAAGAACTGAATATCTGAGCATTTGGTTTCCCACTGGAATCACACTGGCAAATCCAAACCAGGCCTCAGCACTCTGGCAACTGAGTAATTTTAGACACAAACCGTAGCTTGTATTGATTCAGAACAATGCAATATGGCAATATAATGCACTTCAATGTATACAAGGAGTATCTTTGTGAAAAAATTGATTTCATCTTAACTTTCAGATTAGCTAACAGTAACTGCAGCTGCTTAAGAGGTGCTGTTTTGCTCCACACATAGATAAAAAAATTGTTGACACAGTATTTGTGTCTGGTTGCATAGTTTTAAAGAAAAGAGTCTGTAGAAAAGGACATTGACTGCAGCTTCAAGCTTTTAACTGGTTAAAGCCTGCGTTTGCAGACAAAAACTAATAACTTTTACCAAAAAAAAAACAACTTGAAAGAATAAAACACTGATTCCTGAAGAAATTGTAGTGTTGGCTTGTTCCACAACATTTAACTGGCAATTCCAGCGAGCTGGTGCTAAAAAAAGGAAAAAAATCCTCTCAATTCTGTTCTCATTAGACATTGTTCTATGCTTTAGGTCATAGCTTTAATTTAAGAAATAAAAAATAGAATAATGTACATTACTTGAACAGAAAAATCTAAATCTACTGCCTCACTGCCATGTTTAAACTGACTTTTTAAAAGCAAAGACCATAGGGCAAGATAACTGGGATAGCTCTTTTTCTTCCATTTTCACCTATACAAAGCATAATTGTATGTAATTTAATAAGCAGAAATATTTCCTCTTCCAGGTCTTCAAATCCCCCACACAGCATAAAATCTGGAATTGTTTAGTGAAATTTTCTAATCTTTGTACCTGAGTGTCTCGCAAGGCATCTGATACTTGATGGTACTGTGCTGCAGCATTCAGATTGACAGTTTAAATTGGGATGACACTTATTTAAAAAAAAAAAACAAAAAAAAAACAAACTTGAATACTGATTGTGAACAAAGCAGTGATGTGAAACATAGCTCTTTCTCTCACAATGTCAAACAATAATACAAGACAAATATACCTGAAAACATAAAGTACCTGCTTCTAACTTACATAGCTAACACAATTGGAGAAAGAGTCATGGTTCAGTCAGTGCAATGTCATGGGCAAAATACTAGCGATAAAAAGAAAGCATCAAAACAGAAATATGCTGCTGCAGTACAGTCAAAGTGAGATTTAAGTTTGGCAGATAAGTGATCAATATTTGACAATGTTTTGTGTCCTCTACATTTGGTTCTATAAAAAGTGTAAGCAAAACTTCAGTTTCTTAAGTGGTATCAATCTGTTGTTTTTGTTAACTGTGCTGCCTACATGTTCAAGCCAGAAAGGGTGATATCACTTTTGCAAATCAATCGGAGCAGTTCAAATTGAAAATATTCAAAACAGTACATGAACTGTAGGTCCAAGGGAACTGTAAAATTAGACCATGTAGAGAACATCAAGACACAAGTGCGAGGAAGAAAAAGGACTTTCCATTCAAATGAGGGTGTTTTCCTTTTCTAAGACTGCGTTTGAACAGAAAAACAAATGAAAAGATATGATTAATAATTATCTGTCCAACACTCATTTTTTAAAGTTAAAGGTAAAGAAAGACAGAAACCATTTCCAATAAACTAATGGAAGGTGATTTAAAACAAACCAAATTTGTGCTGAAATTTATATTTAAGGCACAATGGAAATAAAATTGCATTCAATACATAAATTACACTAGAAATTCATATCAACTTATTTCAATGATGGAATGAATGCATTTATTCAAGTCATATTGTGTGGAAGAGGTGGGTTTGAAAGAAATTCTCTGATTAAGTATTTATATCTAATTCTGTTCATATTGCTTTTATGTTTTCAGTCTTGAGAAATTTTCATAATTAAATACTATACCTTCATACCTGTGAAGCTCAGAGGACGGTGACCAAAATGTTGCACTCCGTTTGTCTTGCCAAACGAACACTACCTCAAAGCCTGTCTATAAAGACTCTTGAAGGTATCTTGAGCGTTGAATCAAAGCTGTCATTGAAGGCCTCTTAAGTATTATAAATAATTTAACAGAGAAAACAAGTCACACTTAAAGGCAAGCAGTCCGTTTTATACTAGAGTTCAAATATAGCAAAAAAATATAGTAGGAGGTTCACTGCTGTAATATTTTTCTTAGTTACACAAATCTACATCAAATGGGTGACATTAAAAAAAAAACAGGTCAAAAGAGAGCTGAGAAGAGAAAACACACATACAAAACAAAAAAAAGAGCATCAGAACACCCTTCCCCACATTCAGCAGATCCAGCAAACAGAGCACATAAATAAACCAGTTCATTCATCCACAGGCACAGCAGCAGACAGCCAGGAGCTAAATCACTACCATCTGAAACTTACCAAAAACGTAATAACAACAAGCTTTACCTGGTACGTCATCTCTCGTTCTGAGCTGAGGGACGGGTCTCGTTGACTGTTGTTAATCCGAGCTTTAACAACCCATTGATGATTAAAAGCTGAGAATCGACTTGTCTCATAAAACAGTTTGTGCATGAACTCATCAGTCCGGTATGGCTTCATTTGCAGATCTTTGGAAAAAAAATATTTTTGCAATTCACAGCAAAAATAGTATTTCAAATATAATCAAGATTTGGTACATACCATTAAAAATGACTTTCTCATAGTTCAACATATCAAATATGTGATCATAGAGTCGTTTCTCCTGTTCAAGTTTATTGTCCATGACCAGTAAAGTTTCCATCACCTCTGCTCCCGACTTGTGAGGATGAGTGCACACGCTTTCATGCTCTTTGCTCTCATGGAACGGACCACGCCACGGGCATCCAATACGGCTGTAGCGACAGCTTGTCAAACTGCAAAATTAGTTTGAAAATTAGTTGATAAGGAATCAAAATTTAACACACACACCAAGGGTATGATCTGAAGTATACTTACCGTTCTTCACAGAGGAGCTCTTCATGGCGGTCCAAAGAGTTTCTCGAAAACTCTTTATTGCAAAACTGACACTCCGCTGGCAATTCACTGACTGCTTTTTCCACAGCAAGGTTTCGTGATGCAACACCCTTGCTGATCTCAATACGGCAGTTAGGGCAAGTGGCCACTTCATCTCGGAGGCGGGCATCAGCCAATAGGTGAGTAAAGCATCCAGCACACATGAGGTGGCCATTGGTACACTGCAAAAATAATAATAAAAAATAAAAATACTCTCCATTTTTTAAGTAATATTGAGCGATGAAATTTGTTAAGATGTATCAAATTACATGGGAAAATTCTTAAAATTTATCTGGTTTTAACTTGTTTCAGCTTGGGTATAAGCAATGAACAAACAGAGGAGTTGAAACGTCAGTGAACGTCCGTCCCGATGACAGTAACAAAGATGGCAAACAGCTGGTGGGGTCTATTAATATTCCAGCACAGCCAGAGTGATTTAAAATTAGGACAAGATGTAGCGCAGCATAACGCGATATTTCGATAAAAGAGAAACAAATCAGGAACTAAATAACCGTGACTTGTAAAGTTTAATGATGAAAAACTTTTTAAAAACTTCATAAAGCTTATCAGGGGGGAGGGGTTTCGACGTAAACAAAGGTCCACACGACAACAATGGTGTTCTGCTAGGACAATGGACAATGGAACAAAGTTTAGTTAATGCAATTTCAACGTGTTCCTTTTCCAAATCACACATCTTCTGCAATATTCGCAGAAAATGGCAATGAGGAACAATTGTGATTTAAAATAAATTTCTATGACTTTTCGGCAAATAAGTGAAAAACGCAAAAAGTAGGTGAAGGTAACTTGCCTGGTAGACAGCTGACCGAGGGAGGTCCAGACATACTGCGCAGCACAGAATTCCCCCGAGACGCTGCTCGAGTTTAACACTTTTCCCATCAGAAGATTTTCCAAGCTTCCTTCTTTTCTTGTCTGGTTCGGGAAACTCGTCAGTTTTTTCTACGACTTCGGGATGTTCCCCACTAGACGAAGCAACCTCTACGTCCGCCATCTTCTTTGTTTTGATTGCATAATAACGAAAACACTGGTACCAAGAAAACCAGCGCAATTGTTGCCAACATCTGTACACAAATCTCGACGCACAAAGAAAGTTCTCGGCAGGTTGTTGGCACCACTTTCCGGGTGAAAGGGGCTTAAATAGCTCAGATTTTACATTTGGATCAGTTTCCTGACCCAGCACATTTTGTCGTTTTTTTCAATTACCGCCAACTAACCACTTGAACTACGTTTATCTCTGACGTCGCAAGGTTGTACATTTTTTTGTTCTGTCGACCTAAAACTCAAGCCGTAATTTTGACAACTCCCTTGAATGGTTGTGTGGAGAACAGGAGTATTTTTACGTGGAAATCCCAACTTTAATCGTAGTGAATAGTAATCAGTAATTGAGTTTGGTATTTCATACTCAGAGAATAACCAAAGAAGCATAAGCACCGCGCTAATACTTTTTTTGGCATTTTCTTTCCAGGAAAAGCGACATCTGACAGTGAAACGTCAAAATAGTTTGGGCCAAGTTCAACATAACGGCAATAAAAGAAGATAATTTATGAATTAGAACCACGTGTGAGCTATTACACTAGTTACTATTTCAATATTTGTCCGTTACGGTTCGATCTTCTGCTATTGAAACAAATTGAACACTGTTTTAACTACGCAATTCTTTACCTCGTGACAGGCTTGAGTGTTGGCTACATTGTACCAGAAAATTGACCTACGTTTGGCGTTGCGCATAGGCACAGGAAACGGGTGTTAGCATTTTCAGGTTCTCGAACCGAGATCAAGAGAGAGCAGAGGAGGCCCAGCTTTGCTCACCTTTTTAAGTGAAACTTCTTGACAAGTAACCGCCATGGATGAAGAGTACGATGCTATTGTCTTGGGCACTGGCCTTAAGGAGTGTATTTTGAGTGGTATGCTATCGGTATCTGGCAAGAAAGTGCTCCACGTCGACCGCAACAAGTACTATGGGGGCGAGTCAGCCTCTATTACCCCCTTGGAGGAGTTATTCACCCGTTATGGGGCCCCCGCACCGGATCAAAGCTACGGCCGTGGCCGGGACTGGAATGTGGACCTGATCCCCAAGTTCCTGATGGCCAATGGTTCATTGGTGAAGCTTCTCATTCATACTGGGGTTACTAAGTACCTAGAGTTCAAGTGTGTCGAAGGAAGCTATGTGTACAAGCAGGGCAAGATCTCCAAAGTACCCGTTGACCAGAAAGAAGCTCTAGCATCTGACTTAATGGGCATGTTTGAGAAGCGCCGCTTCCGCAACTTCCTTGTCTATGTACAGGATCTGCAAGAGGATGACCCGAAAACCTGGAAGGACCTGGACCCTAACGTATGCACTATGCAGCAGGTCTATGACAAGTTTGGTCTGGATAAGAATACTCAAGATTTCACCGGTCATGCTCTGGCTCTGTACCGTGATGATGACTACCTTAATCAGAATGCTCTCCAGACAATTCGTCGGATAAAGTTGTACAGTGATTCCCTGGCTCGATATGGAAAATCTCCTTACCTGTATCCAATGTATGGGTTGGGTGAACTACCCCAAGGGTTTGCTCGCCTTTCTGCCATCTATGGTGGCACATACATGCTAGATAAGCCAATCGATGAGATTGTGTATGAAAATGGAAAAGCTGTTGGTGTTCGCTCAGGAAGTGAAATAGCAAAATGCAAACAGGTCTACTGTGATCCATCCTATGTCCCTGAAAAGGTAGGTATCCTTTTTAATCTCTGTTCAGCTCTACAGAGTTATTATGTGTGACTCATACATACCCACTTCTTTCACAGGTCAAAAAGACTGGCCAGGTTATCCGTTGCATTTGTCTTCTGGACCATACCATTCCCAATACCAGAGATGCTCTCTCAACTCAAATTATCATTCCTCAGAAGCAGGTAGAGATGTTGTTGCTTGAAGCCCCTCCAATGTCTCAAAATGCTTGGAAGTGTAACTAATCAATCTATTCTTTTGTAGGTGAACCGCAAGTCTGATATTTATGTATCCCTTGTAAGCTACACACATCAGGTTGCAGCCAAGGGCTGGTTTGTTGGTATGGTATCAACAACTGTTGAAACCGAAAACCCTGAAGCTGAGATCAAACCTGGTCTTGAACTCTTGGGACCCATCAGACAGAAGTTTGTCACTGTCAGTGACTATTATGAGCCTATTGATGAAGGCAAAGAGTCTCAGGTAAGCAATCATCTTGACCTCTGTTTCCTTTTGCTTAAAGTTCAACATGTTTTTAATTATGTATTTTTGCAGGTGTTTATTTCAAAGTCATATGATGCCACTACTCACTTTGAAACAACATGCTTGGATGTGTTGGACATCTTCAGACGAGGAACCGGCACCGACTTTGACTTCTCAGCAGTTAAACAAAATTTGGGTGATGAGGACCAGTAAAACATAAGCCAAGTATTGCCGTGAGACGATGGGATGAAATGTTGTGCATTTAATGAGGTTTACCTTGATAGCTGTCAGTACAACTTCCTGTTAGTTATTTCATGTTTGGTCCCTAATCATTCTAGTGCCCTCCAATGCCGAGAATTTCAATGTTTGGTATGAAGAATTGGCAGTGAACTGAAGTGTCAATTTCTTATGGGAATTACTCCCTGCTCAACTGTGAAATGCTCTGGAGGGATGTGGCACAGCTCAGATGATGGCAATCCATGTATGGTACTGGATTGTTCTTCAGTTTGTGCTTTAAAAAAAAAAATCACTTGCTTTATTATAATTTTAGGTCAAATTGCACAGCTTGAATGTGTTTAGATTGATTGTTACAAAGACCTTGTGCAAGAAGGTGAATATGAATTAATATGAATGGTTATCATTCCTATCCCAATTGTTTCCATTTGTCTAGCTTGCCTAAATTGTATGTGTGATTATTCGAGTCCTCTTTCATAGTATTGTTTCTCGCTCAGTCATATAGCAATGCAAAAAGTGGTATCCTAGTAATTTTTAAGTGCAAGATTTGCTTCCAGATAATAATTGAAAATTGTTTATTATTTTTATATAAGGTGCAATCAAGAATTCTCTACTTAATGAAATTTGTGTGGTGTTTCAGAATTCTTGTTAAAGCTCATTTTATTATCATGTATGTTACGCTTTGAGGCTATTAGCATTCCTGAACAAGTGAGGAGTATGACTGCTTTTCTTCTCTAAAGGTGTGATGACTCAAAACTTGCTCTCAGGATTTCACTTTGGACTGGTGTATAGACTATATTTCAAGCAGTCAATAATGACATGGTCATTTTGAAAATGGGTTGGACTTCTTTTTATAATTCTTGAAATGTAATTCAAGAACCTCTCTTCCTCAAAGGCATCTTTAGCACAAAGGGGAAAAAAAAGCACATTAAAAGAAAAAACAGAGCATGATCACCCTTTCACTTTAAATTACTCAATCTTGTCTGCTTTTTATGTAGTTTAGGAAATTGTTTGTAATCAGCTGTATTTACCAATTCACTTGGATGTATGTGTATGGTTAACATTTTTTAGAGCCATTTCTAAAATGTGATTTTATTTCAGAATGATGAGTCATTGTTTAGTACGAGTACTGGGATGGGGAAAGGTTGAAAACCCAGAGCAAGGTCATGGCCTTTGACATGGTACTTTTGCCATGTTAGTTTGAATAGGCCTGACATATTTGTTGTAGTTGAATCATAACAGGAGAATATTAAATATTTGTACAAATGATTTTGCATCATAACATCCATGATGGATGGTTATTGGGCTGACAGTTGTGGAAAGATATGACTGAATTATGGGGAAACTGGAAAAGAAATTCAAAGCTGACTTCAATTCTGGCATACAACTGTACTTCAGCTGTCAGTGAATGACAATCATTACAGTGACCATAGACACCATGAAGACAATATTTTAAAACAAATTTGGCTTGTTAACTTGATTTTTTAAGTTTCTATAATACTGAAACATTTCATGTTATAAAAAAAATCTTTCCCCTCTTTACCTCCTAATGCTTGGCTGTGTTTCTTTTTCTTAATTATTTTTAAAGGAATATCTATCAAGGGTCTATTGCATGTAAGCTCTTCAAATATGGCTCATTAAAATACTTCAGAAACATACAACTAGTTAAATTTTGTAGATTGAATTCTTAGACAGTATACAAAGTTATCTCTGCATCCAAAGTACACATAGTCTTTACATACTACTGGCGAAGAGAAAACTTCAGATTCTGCATGAAATTTACCAAAGATACTCCCATCCTGAAGTCCAACAACTGCCACGCCACCAGCTTTATTACTGACAACACAGCACAGTTTATCGGATTTATCTGATGTTCTGATTGAGAAAGGAAAAGGGGCTGACAAAATGCTAGCCCCTAAATTAACCTTCCACTTAACCAACACATTGTTTTTAATAGTAACTGACAAGCAATAAAGGAAGCAGTCGTGACAACTCACTAAGATTTGGTATTGCATGTCAACATTTTGTGAAGATGTAGGCACAATTATTAGAGGAGCATATATAAGACCTGGAGCTTGCCAGCTCCATACCTAGAAACAAAAATATTATTCATTCAATTTAGCAGGGTAGTTCAGATACAAATTCTTAAGAGAGTGAGAACACACCTGTACACCATTTAAAGCATTTAAGCAAATAACAGCTCCTTTAACTTCAGCAATTACAACTAAAGTCGTGGACGGTGTTGACAGGTGGCAAGGTGTGGAGAATATGGGTTGATGAAATGTAACTGTCCACATTACATTGCCATTGGCTGTCTTCAAAGCATAAGCCCTACCAGCCAAGGAGCAGACAATAGCTATGTCACCAAGAATTAGTGGACTGGCCAACCAGTTGCCTTTGATATCATCTTTAGTGCTCCACTCCAATTTTCCTGACTACGGTGATAAATAAAAAAAAATAGAAATGTAAACTGAGCAATGACAACTTTGTGATGTTTTAGTACTGCATTTTTTTAAATGTGTATGATTTTGTGGGCTCTTACTTCTGAATTCAAGCAGTAAACTTTTGAGTCATAAGATCCAAAAATTATGCTGTTCCCTTGATTGCATAGAACCGGAAGACATTTGATAATCCCACCAGTAACGAAAGACCACTTAACTCTACCATCAAATGTGGCAATGCAGTACAAAGCACCATCATGGCATCCTGGAAACAAAATGAAATGAAAATGTTATAGCTTTCCATTTATCTAGAGTCTTAATTCAGAGACCTCTGAGTACTTTTATACTTTGTTCCAATTAAGACTAGTAACTTAACTCAATCAAAAAATCTGTATACAACCTAAGCATATGTATCAAAGGCAGGAAATCATCTTTTACTACAATTTAACAAAATTTAGATTTAAAGAAACTCACAGACCTATATAAATGTATTGGCCACATAAGGAAGGACACGCTGAAGCTTCAATTCGATGAGGTAAATTAAGCAGCCAACGAACTTCCCCTGTAGTACCATCCACGTAGGTGAACTTTCCTGAATGCGAGCCTATCACAATACCAATTCCACTGCAGAAAAAAGTAAGTATGAAATGTCTTAAAAAACAGTTGGTAACTCTATTTGTTACATGGAATGCCTTACCTTTCAAATTCTAAACACAATGGGGATGCATCAATACATTTCCCTAAATCCACTTTCCAAACTAAATTCATTTGTAAATTTTCTAAACATTTGTGAGATACAGTAAGGGATGGTAAATCACTGCTGCTTGATTTGCCAGAAAGGTTGAAGGTGATGAGTTTGTTCTGCTTAAGCTTCAGAGGCGTTTTGCATTCATCTTGTTTTCCTTCTATTACTTCATGAGAAGAAGGCAAAAGTGAAGGATTTGAAGCCTCAAGACTGCTGTTCTTTGATTGGTAGAATTGGCATAGGTGGTCACATATAAATTGTAAGCTTTTACCAGAGAGGAGTAAACCAGACAGCTCTTTCGGCACATCCCCAAATTCATTTTCTAGTTCAGTAATTAATATCATAGCCAACAGAGAATTTCCACCAAAATGAATGAAGGAACCTTCTTGTGAAGTTTGCAACCCAAGCACTTCACACCACAACTTTAAAAACTTTTTTGCAACAAATAGCTGAAATTGCGGAGTTTCTTTCTTGTCTAAGATTTCTAAAACTGTATGACGGTTGATTTTGCCTGGTAACCAAAAGAGGGTGTTTCATGTACAAAACGGATGACTGTAAGATCATAAAGTAGATTTAAAATTAGATATTACCATGTTGAGTAAGTGATACATCATTAACTTGCAGGATTTCATCTGGCATGTGAGCTCTTTCAGACTGAGTGGATGTCAGAAAATGTCTTCGGAGAATTAAATTTGATATAGCCTCTCTCAGCGCAACGAGTAAGTAAAGTTTGTGATTAACTTCATCCCATACACAACATGCACTCTTCACAGAAGAATGACTTAGAGCTATTCGCTCTATATTTTCCAGATTAATTCGACATCCCCATCTTTTAACAATGAGATCTTTTCTACCAACATAGTATATTCTTCCATCAGAATGTGTCTGTGAGAAGAGAAAGCTTGTTGCACTAGAAAACTATTTCAAAGAAAGACTAAACAAGATGCATAGTGCACAAGGTGGGCCAGTTATTTACCTGAACAATGTCACCTGTACCTCGAAAAACTGGGGGAGCAAAGTCAAGACAGTTTTCATTGTCGATTTCACATACTCTTTTGGAACTACCTGGGTGATAGAAATATTTAAATGAGTAACTGATCAAAGAAAAACATTCATAAAAGTTAATGAGTGAATGTAAAATACACAATGCAACCAACATACCAATAAACATTTCTCCACATCCATCAAGAATTATAGAACCAGTGACACTGTCACGAATTTGTAGAATGGTGTGAGCAAGAGGATCTCCAAGTGGTACGGAACTTTCATTTGAAATAGTATAACTATCATTAGGATTAGCAGAAGGTATTACTTGATGAATACTCGCCCATGGTGAAACTTCAGTAATGCCATAGATGTTATAAATCCGGGTAGCATTGCCGGCACCTTAAGATGATTCAAAATGTTTCTGTTTTACAAAATTGTGAACGAAGTAGTGCATAAAAAATGTATACTTTGTACCTGTGCATCTAAGGACCTTTGAATGAGAAGGAAAAGGTTCTCCACCAAGAATAAGAGCTCTCAATGATGTTCTTGGTCCTAGAACAATTTCTTTTAGTTCTGTCTCCGACCATCGATTGAATACTGATGGTGTCATTTGTAAAACAGTAACTCCAAGAGCGGATTGTGGAGGAAATAAAACATTAAGTAAGTTACTGGCTGATGCCTTAACAACATTGTTTGTCACTAAAAGAGAGGCTCCAGTGGCAAATGCCAAGAAAATGTCTACAACACTTGGATCAAATGTAGGTGGTGATGATAGGAAGATAAGGTCTCTTGAGGTGACTTCACAAATCTTTCTGCAACAATTTTGCAAAACAATGCTAAAAGCATACAAGGAAAGAGTAAGACATTGTTTTTGATAATTTTCTCAAGAGGGTACACTTACATTAGAGAAACAATATTTGAAACTACACTGGCGTGAGGGACACGAACAATTTTTGGCTGGCCTGTACTGCCAGACGTTAGAACTGCATATGCCATTGGATGCAAGCAGTTGCTACAATTCCCATCTATCTCCAATTTTTCAAAATATAATGATGTATTCTTAATTCTTATTCGGCATTGCTTTTCTGAAGAATCACATCTGCGATCCTCACTGGTATGCATGAGAAGAGGTGTCCTAAGCTTTCTCAAGTAATCAATTTGTTTATCAGAAGGCCATGACGGATCAATACACGCAAACCCAAATCCTCGACTTAAAATGCTGTGAACAAGTGTAAGAGTTGGATATTAGATAAAACTTAGATTTTATGACAGACGAAGACCATGAAATACACACCCTATGATCACGGCAGGGTAGATGAGACACTGCTCCATGCAAACTCCAATGAACTGAGTGCGAAGAGGATGGTTTTTGGAAAATTGGTCAAGTGTTTCCGACACAATGCAACTGGTATCCCACAGGTCCTTATAAGTCATGTCACATCTTGTTGAAGATCCAGAGTCTTCTATGACTGCAACTTTGTCAGGGTGTTCACCTAAAGACCTCAGGAATAATCCGTCCAACGTCTCAGGCTCCATACTTCAGAAATTGCACTGAACTCCCAACTTTGTTTTCTTGCAGGCCCACGGGGTTACGGGAACCTATCCGCAAATACAGACACAAAGCGAAAGAGGCCTGCAGCGTCACGCCAAACAGCGTAAGGCTGCACCATTTTTCCACAAACAATTTAAAGTAAAGTGAACAGCTCGAGACACATAACTATATAAAAGATTGCAAGTGCCGACGTCGTCGTCTGCTTGGTATGGAACAGATGATGTAAACATACCGACTCCGACCCGACATCGGACTTGGAGCCGAAGCCGAAGACGACCCGAACGCGATCCGAAGGGGTGTCGGCAGGTGCCGGGGATGCCACCGCCACCGCCGCGATGCCTTCCGCGTGAGAAATGCCGGCAAAAGTAAACGTTTGGTAAACGGCCAACATCCTCCATACTTTTTGTCTTATGGGTTCGGGAAAAATAATAGACTTTAATGCATTTGGACGAGCTCATTGTGCTGCCAACCTGCTCCCACCCCCCTCCAGACGAAAGTTCAGGGTGGCGGTGATTCCACTGATGCAACAATGCTTAAGGGGGTACTTTGACGAAGGTGCCAGCCGGTTGTGCCAGTGTTTCTCTACGTTTGCTCATAAACTGACAAACATCGATATGCCGAAGTGCTTTTTAAGGTCTTTCGGTTTCGGAGGACGGTCTCCGAGAATCTGCAAAGCGGAGGTCGACGCAAAGGACTCAGGTGAGGTCACGAACAAGGTAGCAATCACGTTGCACTTGTCAGACGGGGTGTTTTGGCCATTCGGCGTCAGCTACAACACTCAATTTGCACTGAACCTTTTTCGAGTGATATATTAGAAACGCTCACGTTGTACTGCCACGTCCGTGAAAGGCCTGAAGAACTGGCAAGAGAGTTTTTAACTCGAGTCCCGAGCCGTTCGAACTGCCGTTCAAACGGCAGTTTTATTTCACGGTTACGCCACTTTGATATCTGCTGTTGAATGGGGGTTGTGATCTTGTAGAGGAGGCTGTCAACCGGCTCTGGTTTGTAGACAGGACGCCCCAGCTGCTTGTGTTAATGCCTCCCACGGCTCATCTCCCACTACAGAGAGCCCGACGTCGCGGCCGCCCCGGCTCCGGGCCCACCACCGGCCGCCCCCGCCGCCCCTGAGGCCCCGGCCCGTGCGCCTCGTGCGCCCGCCCAGGAAGACCCTGGACGAGGACTCGGACGACCCCTGCAGTTACCTGTCCTACCTCAGGCGCCAGCGTCCACGCCTCGGAAACGTGTCCGGGGCCGCCCCCGCTCCTCCCCCTCCGAGCTCGGATCAGGACTGGCTGTTCAATCCCAACTTACCCATCGTCACCAGGTAGCGCGCAGGACTGTTTCGTAATATAGGTGATCGGAGGGTGGGTCCCGTCCTCTAGTGCCCCCCCCCCCCCTTACCTTCGACCTCATCGGGAACACCCTCAACTTTCTAAACGCGTCTTATTCTGGTCCATTTTATACGTGGGATCGACAATTTTAGGGTTGAGGGCATTATGATATGAGTTGGTTTTATGGGTGAGCTGGTTTGATTTCAGGTTTCTCAGCGGCAGCCAGCTGCTTACCTATCCGGCGGAGGAGGCCACTCTCGCCACTGATCTGTTTGGTCAGCAAGACGAACATCAGGCAGCTTTGGACGCACTGTCACTGCAGGTATATTGATTCATTGTGTGACTTCAACTTCAAAAAGGGCTATAACGACTGCTTGTTGGTGGTGCCTAATACCATCTTCCCCACCAGGAGTGCTCGAGCCCGGGCCCTGAAAGCTACCCCCTCCACTCCCCTCCCTGCCTGGGCGCCGCCATGGCCGCGGTCGCGAGGAGTGACCTGGACCTCGGTGACCATCACGTCGTGCGCGTTGGAAGGGCCGTGCCGCTGAGCCTGCCTCCGACTCCAGCGGGTAGGAACACCCTCAACCACCCGCAACCGCCTCACGCGCCACTACCGCCTCCACCACCCGTTCTATCTCGTTCTCCACCAGGGAGCTGCATCGTGGTGACGGTGGGCGCTCCCCGTGGCCCCCGCGCCTCCTCGGCAGCGCCCCGCCGCTCCCGCAGGATGTCGGCCACCAATCGGCGTGAGAGTGCGCTGCTGTCGCAGGCTGTGAGCCAGGCCGTGGAACACGCCCTTCGAGAGCTCAACAACAAGAGCAACAACAACAATGCCTGGCCAACGGGGGAGCGGTCATTGTTGCAAAGCTTGGGCGCCTTGCGAGGCGCGGGCAGCCTAGCGGGTAGCGCGGCACGTAGCCGGGCCCTCGGCAGCAGGGGCATGGAGACGCGCACGAGGACGTCCGCCAGGATGGAGAGGGCCTTGGCCTCGCAGCAGCAGCAGCAGCCAGCGGAGAGCACCGCCAGGACCGTCGCCTGCAAGGCCAGCGCCAGCGACGAAGAGGTACTTGGCGATTGGGGAGGCGGGGGGCGGTAGAGCCCTGCACCGGGCGAGCCACGCGAGCTAGACCCTTTCAACCCTTTCTTCCACAGGGGAGAGGGGGAAGGGCAGGGGGTAGGCGTTTAGCTCGCGTAGCTGACTTTGCTGGGCTCTGGATGAGTGCGACAGTTACATTTCAACGTACAAAGTCAACACCATTCGCAATAGTTGCCGGTGTTTCTCAGCTGATTGGTCTTGTCGATTTTGTTTCGTTTTTGTAACCCTTCCAAGTTAATTATTGTCCGTGTCCGTGACAACCAAATGATTGCGTTCGGGCACGTTGAATTCCTGACGACCTCTCCTCCAGGATGACGTAGACGACAGCATCGCGGCTCCCGGGCTCGACGACCCGACCAGTACCGGGTCCTCGTCGGCCGACGCGGGGTCGACGGCTGGGTCGGGATCGCCGCGCCAGCTGCACAAGTGCGGCCACTGCGGCAAGGAGTTCGACCGGCCCTGGGTGCTCAAGGGCCACCTGCGGCTGCACACGGGAGAGCGGCCCTTCGAATGCCCCTTCTGTCAGAAGCGCTTCGCCGACCGGTGAGTCCTGATCCTGCGGGGGGTGGGCGGCCGCAGCGCCCCCGGGCGGTAGGCAGAGGTGCGCACGCGTGCTAGGCGTGCGGCCTGTACGCGATCCGCAGGGGCTCTGCCGGCCCCGCGCGGACCGCGCGGCGGCGGGGGACCAGCGGCCATGGGGCGGGCCTATAGGCAGGCCTATGGGCGGGCCGTAGGGGCGGGGCTGGCGGAGCCCGGGGCCATGCGCCACTGGATCTCGATGGTACGAATGAGATCCTTTTCCGGACGTGTATTTGGTGTCGTTCCATATTTTTAGTTCATTAGTGATATCAGTCATCTTGTTCACCGGGAAAGCGCCCACTATATGTCTACACGTTTCCTGCCATACACTTGGTGCAAGAACTCAGTTTTTTTAGATGTGCAAACTCGAAACATTAAAATCATTTTAACCACAAAATCGTGCACCAATTGCTGACGCCGTTGTGTTTTTTTTTTCGCCCTTGCACCTCATCAGGTCCAACCTGCGCGCCCACCAGCGCACCCGCGCGCACCACGACTGGTCCTGGCACTGCCCCAAGTGCTACAAGGCCTTCTCGCAGCAGCGCTACATGGAGCGCCACGGGCCGGACGCGTGCAGCAAGCACCGCCTCAAGCAGCTGAACCGCGCCAGCCACTCGTCCCTCATCAGCGAGCTGCTCCAGCAGCAGGACCACGTGAACCGCGTGTAGCGGCGCGTCGTGGGCCCTGCCCCGTCCGGCGTCCCGACCTCGCCGAGGACGACCAGTCCCCTGCTCTGGTCCTTGAATTGTCATTGTCTTGTGCCTCTACGCCCCCACGTGTTAACGCGGCGGGCCGTATTTTACACGTTTTTTTATGTTAAAGAAATTTGACCATGTCTGATGAATAGATATAAAAGATTGTTCTATGTACATATCGCTGAGGGGTGATCATTTCCGCCTGCCGCTTATTGGTAAAATTTGCATCGTTTTTTATCATTGATCGCACCTGGTGCATGGCGGTAGCGGCGTTGAGGGAAATAGATAGTACGTTTTAGAGCGGCGCTTCGAGCGAGATAGAGGGGGGGGGGGGAGACACCGAAGGAAGCATTTGCCCATGTCATACTGACTCTGACTCTCGAGCCTCGCGCAGGTATAGGCTGGCGGGTCAGCAGGAGCGCTGGCGTGGCCTGGCAGTGCGGCGGTCACGTGGTCGCCGCCGTCACCGCTAGTGAGGATATGGGTGACGGCGCGCAAGGTAGCTCATGACAGCCCCCCCCCCCCCTCCTCTCTTTCTCCCCGTCGTTGCGGAATTTGGCCCCGGTGAAGAGTGTAGTGTCAAGGGTCGGGTCGCATCGGCAGATCCGTAAGGGGGGCCCGCGAGGTGTGCGGCCGGCTCGGCCCGTCGCCGCCCATGGGGGCATCACTGGGGGGCCAGGCAGGCGTCGGCGCGGCGGGCTCGGCTGTGTGTCGACGGCGACGTGCCCGCCACCGGGGCAGGTAGGCCACCCGCCCTGCCGCGCCGCACACCCCGCGCGGTACTATCATATCGGCCCACTATTATTGCGCGCGTCATGGCTCCGACCAGAGTGGCGCGTTGTGGCGTGAGCCCACTATACTCGCCATTCAATGCATTATTTGGCGGTGCTGCAAGTCCATCACAGACGATAACGATTTTATACGCCTTCTCGACTTCTCCATACATATTTTTCTTTTTTTATTATTATTTTTAGCGCTGTAGTACGTTAGTGGATCACTTACCGTGCGTGCCTTTATCACGGGCAATATGTACTACTGTACTGTACAGGCACCCGCCCGCCCGCGCCCCATTGCACAACGAGAAGTGAAGCGGGCGCGGGCGGGCGGGGGCGGGCGTGGCGCACTACATATTATTCCGAGTGCGCCGCTCATCGCGAGAGCGATACCGAGGAGCGCTGCGCCCGCTGCGCCTCTGTCGCGCGGCGTTGTTATCGCGATCCATCGCGCGCTTGTTTCAGAGACGAGTGTGATATGTATGTACTACACCACGACCCATCGCCGGCGTCGGCCCCGAGCCTGTCTCTGAATGTGTGAGAGAGAGAGAGAGAGTCTGTGTGTCAGAGCAGCGGAGCTGAACTTGCGGGTGTGTTAGAAGGAATAGGAGGGGGGTGTTGCCGGCCGGTCCCCGCGACGTAACGGCATCAGACAGGCCTAAGTGGGCCGATCAGCCCCGAGCAGTGCAGCGGCCGCTCGGCGCGGGAATGTAATACAGCGATAAGAAAACGCTAGGTTGGGGTGGGAGAACAGGGACCCAGGGGAAACTGGGTAAGGTGTAATTAAATCTCTATATTACACCCCTTTAGTGTAATGGGCTCTCAAAAACCCTGGGACCCGCGGCAATTTCCACATACCGGTTCCACCGGGGATACGCTGGTTACACGCTGAAAAGTGCATGCGGTAAGGTTCAAGGTTGTAACTTGCAGTATGCACCGCAACTGTCATTTTGCCTGCCATTGATATGCCAAGTGGAAAATTTGGTGCATTTATTTTTTGATTAAATTTTGACGAAATTAGTCCAACTTCAGAGCAATGAACTTCGACCTCGTGTTTCATTAACAGCAGATGATACCTCACTACACATATAATTTCGAAGCCCCTTATTTATCCTTGTAGTATGCAAATCTGTACCTGGCATCCCCTTTAAAGCCGCAAATAGGCTTGCCGAAAGAAACGACCGGGACGTTTTTCTCTCTTCGCGACCAAGTCAGAGACAAGACCACAAAAGTTTGCGTCATGAGCGCGCGGCATTCCCTGGCTACTCGCGGACCGAGGAGAGTAGCACCACGTCAGAGGGGACCCGCCCCGCCTGTCTCCAGGGTCGACCTGCCCTGCCGGTGATTCACTCGAACACGCCCATCGGGTCTAAAGTCCACGTGCGCTTTGGGGGGGGGGGGGGTACGTGCGTGGCGCCCGCGGACCAGCTTTGAAGACTTTATTCCCCCAATGCTAATAATGTGACCGTGTGTGACGGAAAGGCGCAGAACAACAGCGGTCACTTTCGCTCTCACGATCCGACGCCACATCACATGTCCTGCGGCGGCCTTCCCCCTCCCGATCATTTTTTGGAAATGAAACGATGAAAAGCAAAAATGACTCAAACATGATGAAAAGGTCTCGGATTGTGTTGACATGTCTGCTGGCCTGCCGGGGGGGCGGCAGCAGACGACACGTCAACCGGTCCGTGGCGAGCCGTCCGACGCCGGGAGGACGGCAGACGAAGGAAGGGACGAGGAGGGCGTCCCCGCTCCCTCCCCGGTACCCCCCGCGGCCCCCCCACTCCACGTTAGCCGACGACCGCGTTCGAGAACAGCGTCGCGACCGTCTCCGTCGCACCAATCGCAACGAGATCGGGAGAGAGTGAGAGGTAGAAAGAGAGAGGCCGCCTTCGCGCCTTTCGGACGCAGCCGCCCCCCGAACCGGCCGCCGCCGGCAGCGCTGCACGCAGGAGGCACGCATCACCACCGTCACATTCATTCGACTTCAAGTCTTCCGACGGCAGCCACAGCAGCACAGCCACCAGCCACCTCGCCGCAGCATCAGCAGCCGGCTCCTGCACGTCGCCAAGCACACCCGTTGCCTTCCTTCACTCCGTCAGGTAAGTGCCAGAGCGCCCCCCGGAGCCCCTGCGAGCCCCCTGCCTCACCGCGGCGCACTATGTATATGTGTTTTGCTCGCGGCCGCCCGCGGCCCCCCGCCGGCACCGGGCTGGTGGATGTATAATTCAAGTTCGGCGGTGATTAGCCAAACGTTTGATTAGACGCGGGCGGGTTGGCTGACGCGTGTTGCTCCGTGGCCGTGCCGTGCCCGCCCGTGCTCTCTGCCCGCTCTGCCCTCGGCCCGCGGGCCAGACACACAACATTCGCTCATTTCCGCCATTTCCATTGTCGCCCTAGTAAAGTTTGTGTGCTTGCGTACGTGCCTGCCCGACCGGTCCTTCTTGCAGGCCCGCCGGAGTGCCGCACGCTCCTCGCGTCACGTCCGCCGGCGGCCCGCACCGGTGCGGCCTACGACGGCGCTCTCCATGTAGTCGGCCAAGACAGCCGCAGTCCTAGATTTTCGAACGCCCCTGCTCGCGGTCACCCCCTCCTCCCCCTTCCTTTTTCTTGTAATGGTAAAGGGGGGGGGGCGTCAACATCGGGGCATACGGGCCAGCACGTGCAGCCCACGCCCCGCCCGAGAAGCCGCCGCCCCGCCGCTGCACGCCGTGGACAGCTCCGCGGCCGCGCGCTGCTCCCTGTCGTTGAAACTCTAGCAGCACGTAGTCTACTTGCGATGGGGCCCGCGCCTTGCCGCCCGCTCGCCGCCCCCATGATCGTGGCCTAACTTAATCCCGCAGCTGACGCAACAGTCAAATCGAGTTTAGTCGGTCCAAAGGTCGCGGTCCACGCGGGGCGCGGCGGGGCGGGGCGGGGCTCACCCAGTCAATTGACTACTTTACTCGCGTCGGTCCCGGGTGACTTCCGGTTGGTCCCGTACTCTTTTCTACCGACTGAAGGATTTCAAGTAAGACTCCCTATCGTCTCTATCAGTAGTCTGTTGCATCGACATTGATAAAGCATCGGTTAGGCCGCCACCACTATGTATAACCGGAAGAGGACCAGTTCCGTCGCTGGATCGACTCCGCTGACAATTTCTTTCGTGCTATTTTGCCCCGTTTTCTAACAATGTTTCTCGTTTTCCAGAATGTCTGCCGCTCAAGTCCCCGCAGTCAACGGTTCCGCCGGAGGTATGGGCCTCGAGTCCGTCAACAAGATCACTCAGCTGCCCGTCGTGGAGAGCACCATCGGGCTCGCCTCCGACATGTACAGGAAGGTCAAGGTAAGTGAAAGTAGTGGACGTCTTTTCCGAAAGCGTTTCGTGTGTGCTGCGGCTTTTGGTCATCATTGTGATGCTGGAGAACCACTTGATCCAACTTTGTTCGTCTCCCCAGGACTCTAACGCGATGGTGTCCGCCGCCCTGGGGGCCGCGGAGAGCGCGGGGCAGACGGCCGTCAACAAGGCCGTGGAGGTGGGGCGGCCCGTGGCGGCGCGCCTGCACGGCCCCATCCAGCGCGTGGACTCCGCCCTGTGCACCGGCATCGACTACGTCGAGAGCAAGGTGCCGGCCGTCAAGCTGCCCCCCAAGGAGATGTACGACCGCGTCATGGGCGCCGTGTGCTCCGTGTGCGGCTACGGCATGCAGAAGATCAACGAGGTCGGCCAGCTGATCGGCAAAACCGCGTCCGCAGCCAGTGAGTACTAAACCCCCTGCGCGACTTTGGACTTAAAGCTTAACTCTCATTTGTACGTGATTTACTAGGCGGGCCTTGTGGGTTGTGGTTTTATGTAAATTGTAGACCCACATAGTTCTGTTTTTTGTTGGGTCACGAAGGACATTCTAAGAGCTACGGCTCTTACTGCAGGGTATCCCGTGCTGTTTTTTTCCCCTCCGCTCTATACCGCCCGATCCCGATACCAAGTCACCGGAGCAATTCTATACTTTTCATTTGTACCCCGCGGGCTATCGCTATCTGCGGGGATGGGACTT